GTGTGGCGGGACGAGAGTGGTCTTAGCAAAGGGATAAACGTTGCTAAAGGATAGGAGATTGTGAGGTCATGATCACATACATTTAGAAGATTCACAGCACATAGAAGAAGAAGAAGAAGAAGAAGAAGAGGAGGAGGAAGAAGAAGAAGAAGAAGAGGAGGAGGAGGAAGAAGAAGAAGAAGAAGAAGAAGAAGAAGAAGAAGAAGAAGAATTAAGATAAAGGATAGGAGATTGTGAGGTCATGATCACATAAATTTAGAAGATTCACAGCACATAGAAGAAGAAGAAGAGGAGGAGGAAGAAGAAGAAGAAGAGGAGGAGGAGGAGGAAGAAGAAGAAGAAGATTTAAGATAAAGGATAGGAGATTGTGAGGTCACATACATTTAGAAGATTCACAGCACATAGAAGAAGAAGAAGAAGAAGAGGTGGAGGAGGAGGAGGAGGAAGAAGAAGAAGAAGAGGAGGAGGAGGAAGAAGAAGAATTAAATGTATGTGACCTCACAATCTCCCTATCCTTTATCTTAAATCTTCTTCCTCCTCCTCCTCTTCTTCTTCTTCTTCTTCTTCCTCCTCCTCTTCTTGTGAGGTCATGATCACATACATTTAGAAGATTCACAGCACATAGAAGAAGAAGAAGAAGAAGAAGAAGAAGAAGAAGACGAAGAAGAAGAAGAGGAAGAAGAAGAAGAATTAAGATAAAGAAAGGGGAGGATACGAGTATATATCAGAGTATCAGATCAGAAGTCGTTGACAAGAAATACCAATTTAGAAAAAAGATAATGAAAGAATAATTTTTCTTTTGATAACAAAAAGGCAAGTCAAGAAACAGATGAACCTTCTTGCTCTGATACGGCATCGCTGACCAGAGTGCTTTCTTAACTGAAGTCAGCGATTTGGGTGGATGTTTACTCCGATGGAATCAACAACCACGTGACCAAGGCAAGCCTTCAAGATGGCGAGCTTTCAACGGCTGTGGTTTAAACTGAACATGGTTAGGCACAGCCATATCTACTTGCCCAAGATTAGTTGCACATGAATGAATATCTCCTCGTGATTTCAACACAGATATATGGAGGGCAATGGTCAGGGACTCAGCTACGCAGCGACCCCACGACCACACCCATTTGTCAGACTAATGGTGATTTTGTTTTTGATCAACAACTTTAGAACCAAAGTTACCTTTTGTTTTTCGCTGACGTGTGCATGCTAAAACTAGAACAATTCCCCAAACTAAAATAGCAGTGTGCAGATGAAAACATGAAGACAAGGCGTGTAATTCAGGAAGGGAGACGTTAATTAATTAACGTCGTTTGGTGGTTAATAGATAAAAGTATTAATTAATGTAGGTGTTAAAGAAGAGTCATTCCACTGTCTTTTGTTTATCTTTATTGGCATATTCACGACGTTTCGGTTGCTGTACGCTCCGGCCTTATTCAGGGGATATACGTTGGAATTTCATACTGAAATCCTTATTTCATCCTCGAAGGTTGATTGTTCTAATTCCACGTGGCGCAAGGTACTGAGCCATTCAACAGATAAACAGAACTAAGGTTTTCATTTAATATGTGAATACATATATGCCATCGTATAACCGTTTAAAAAGTCTGCTGTGTCAGTCCAACGTAGTGTTTCTCAGTCTTTTTAAGCAATGGCACACCTAAGAGAAAATTATCAAGGCATACTTAGCAAAGTTTTAAAGGGTATACATTTAAATATTATGAAATAAAACCATAGATTTTAAAAAAAATCCACACATAAACAGGAACTTTATTTCACTGCCCAAGGGTATTAGCACGTAAGTCAATATAATGGATTCCAGTTGAATCCATTACATTCACTTACGTGCTAATACCTTTGGGAAAGGTATGAATCCTTTTCTCCCCACCCCCAGCTATGGGTAAATAGCAGACTATGTTCTATAACCTTGGATGGCAACTGGTCTACCGCAGAAAGAAATAGCAATCTACTGTGGGATAAAATCTGCCTCGTCAGTCATGTATCGAAAGATACATGATCGCCTATGCTGGTATCACGCATGGCATATAATTGACTGATTTGGGCAACATTTAGTGTGAAACCCATGCCTGGTGATTTTGGCAAATGTGCAGATCCTCATTTCTTCTTCAATTGAGCGTAGTCTTTCTCGCTTCTTATTTTTGATGTTATATCGGGTTGAGAAACTTAATTCACATAAATAAGAATTCGAAAATTGCAATAAAACGGATAAAACTTTTTTTTGTCAATGTGGGATATTCCTTTTGTATTGAAATCCAAAATGTATCAATGGGTACAGTCGAATGTTCTATTTTGAGCACTCAATCACTAGAAATAGTGAGCAATTCTTCTTTTTCACATAACGAGAAGCCAGTATTAGAAAGAATATAGTGAAAAGAATTATTAGAAGAAAAGTTTAAAACTTATTCATTTATTCAAATACTAACGCTGTATTGTTACTAGTTCCACACACACACACACACACACACACACACACACACATACATATATATATATATATATATATATATATATATATATATATATATATATATATATATATGCCATGACAATATTTCGCAGAGATCTTTTAAGAGGATCGCACAGCACACTAGAATTGAAAATAGCCGGTCTAATGATATCAGAATAGTCTTCAGAGTTTGTAAGCATTTAAAGCACTGAAACCAGACACATTGTCTCCATTTTTTCCGGTCGTAAAATCTATTTTTAACTGGTGCAACGACTCCCATGTGAAAATTGTTCTCATTAATTTTGTATTCTTTTTATCTTAGTACTTGTATCATCTTATACCCAAGCATCATATATAGTAAAATTTTGTGTGACAAATTTCGAATGTGTGCATGTGTGTGTTGTTTTTGTTTTATAGCCAGGCTGTTGAATATTTGCTTTTGAACATTGATTAAAACATAATCAGTCGATTTAGACGTCATCGTCAAAACTGGGAAGAGGCTTTAATAAGGAGATTACTTCACATCTACAAATCTACCATTCGTCTATGCATTGAATACTGTTGCCATATATGGTCTGGTGTCTCTGCTGTTCATCTCGAGTTCTTGACAAAATCCAAAGACGGGTCTGTAATGTGATCGGTCCTGACTTGACATCTCGACTCCAACCACTTTCTCACAGACTTGATGTGCCTTCCCTCTGACTTTTCTATAAATATTTTCATCACATCTGCTCTGACGAGCTATTTTCACTGGTGCCCCGACTCCATGAACTTAAGCGTGCTACTAAGTTGGCATCTCGGCCCCACTCTTTTACTGTCGAAACAGTTAAATGTAACCGCCTCTTCTACTCCAACAGTTTCTTCTCTCGCACTTCCCCACAGTGGAACTCCCTTCCTCTTACTTGCTTCCCTGGTAACTATAATCTTCAAAAATTTAAATGTAATGTCAATCGACATATTCTTTTGCCTTGACGCCCTTTCTTCTTTTTTATCCTTTCCTCGAACCCCCAACACTTACCCAGGTTTTCCCTTAATTACATTCTCTGTTTCCCTATGTGTACTAGTGGCATTACCGCCTCGCTTAGGGTGAATTTCTTAAAAAAAATAGGCACAAGTACACACACACACATACACACACATATACATATATATTTATAAAATCTCATGGAAAGATCTTTCTGTCTATATTTCTAAGATGTAGTATTTCTAAGATGCAGTATTTCTGAGAGGCAGTATTGTAACGGTTTACACTATTTACATTGTTCGGATTGATGTCCTCATCTTTATTGTCATGTTCACAACCCTACACAAGCACGTGTGGCCCAGTAGATAAAAATAATGTAGTGAGTTTTGTGTTGTGAGTTCAATACATACCCACAGCAGAAGAGGATAAAAATGTGGAGTTACTAAAGGGAAATAACTGAACCTGAGATATCCGGAAAATGCATGGCACGTGGAATTAGAACAATCTACCCCAGTGCATGAACTTAAAAGTTTGGTTCGAAATTCCAACGTATATGACCTGAAGAAGGCCGGAGCATAAAACTTCTGAAACATTGTGAATATGACAGTGAAGATGAGGACAACAGTCCGAACAACGTAAATATTTTTTCTCTTTGATACCCAAATATTTTTTCTCTTTGATTATATATAAAAATTTGGTTAAAGAACACTGAATATTCTTTAAGAAATTTTTATTCTATATTTTGGACCATTTTCCTGGTTTTCTGGTACATATTTAAATAGAAATAGTCCAATGTCTGTGTACATGTGGATTTAATAAGCCATTATTAAAGGCTTTGTTTTGGGCTATGTCAATTTCGTTATTTTTAAATATCGTGTCTTCGCGTCTCATGTCAGGTTCATCATTTTCAAATATCGCGACTTCGCATTTTCGTCTGACAAATTCGTATTATCCTGTCGTTCTTTTTTTTATTTTTTTTTATTTATGAATTATATTTATTATACTTGTTCGTAAATTTGCTAAATTTTTATTGATGTTGTGTTGTTTGTTTTTATACTTAATATTTATATCATTCGTAGGTGTTTACAGTTTATGCATTTTTTGTGTTTTTGGTGATGATTTGTTGAATTTTTTGTTGCGTTAGTTGGTAGTATGCGATTAATTGGACTATTATCAGATAAATGACATGTCAATCGGCTCGGTAGTGTAGTTGTTGTGCAATCAATGTATAGTTTACCTTTCCTTTACACAGTATGTTTTTAGAATATATTAGTGTTCTCTTATTTAAAATTTGAAAACTTTGTTTTTTTTTTTTTCCACGTTACTTCTGTGTATGAATACAGGTTACTAAATAAAATTTCTACACATGCCTTGATAAAGTTCCTGTAGGAACGAAACGAGTTCTTCTCTTGATTTTTCTTTTACATTCTTAGGTCATTCATGGTATTACTCCCATGTTTGTATAAGTTCCATATAATTCCTCTTATATAAAAACATGCATGACATTTAAAAGTCATCTTGTAATAAATCTTATTATACCTACCTCCAGTTACACATGCATTAACATAAACA